CGTTTCTTCTAATTTTCGATTTGTAATTTTTGATTTGGGTTTCTTATTTTCCCTATTTTTATAATTTCTCGATTTTTCCAATTTCATTTACGATTTGCATTTTTCAATTTTTAATTTTTTTTTGTTTTCCAAATTTTTAATTTTTCTATTTTTCATTTCGGGTTTTTATTTTCTTTATGTCTTCAATGTTTCGATTTCATAATTTTTTGTTTCAATTTTAATCTTTAAAATTTTTTTGTTTCTTCAATTTTTCAGTTTTGCAATTCTTTAGTCATTTCTTCAAAACGTTTTTTTATCTTCAATTTTCCGATATGCAACTCTTCAGGCTTTCAATTTTAAACTTTTCCGATTTTCCATCTGTTGGATGTTTTTTGGATTTGCAATTTTTCATATCGGGTTTTTATTTTCTTTATTTCTTCAACTATTCGATTTTTCAGTATTTCGGTTTTATAATTTGTTGTTTTTTCAATTTTATTGAATAAACGGTAGGTTTTTCTTGTTTTTTTCGAGTTTTCAAACCAAGTTGTTTCTCAGTTTTTCGATTTTTCAACTTTTGAATTTTTCAGTTGTCCAATTTATCAATTTTTAGATATCCTACGTATTCGTTTCGTCAGTTTTTCAAGTCTCATTAAATTTTTTTTTTGCTTTAATTTTGTCATTTTGAATTTTTGTTTTCAATTTTTCAATTTGTTGGACTTTTGGATTTTTTTTTTCATGTTTTCTTTAAATTTACAAAATATTTACGATTTTAAAAATTTTCAAGTTTTCGATTTTTCAGGTTTACGAATTTGAACATAAAAATAAGAAAATTCAGACAAACGTTAAAATTTAAAAATTCGAAAATCGAAAAACTCTAAAATCGAAAATTGCAAAGTTGAAAAATGGAAAAATTTTAATTGAAAAACTTGAAAATGAAAAAACGAAAATCTAAAATCCGAAAAAATTATTGAAAAATAAAAAATTAAAATTTAAAAAAATTGTAAAAAAAAGTTTAAAAAATCGTGAAATTGAAAAATCAAAAGTTGAAAAATTGAAAAAACAGAAAACGTGAAACGAAAATTTACAAAGTCGGGAAATTGCAAAATCGTAAAATTAACGAAACGAAAAATTCAAAAATCGTAAAACTGTAAAAAACAAAAGCTGAAAAATCTAAAAATTGCGAAGTAAATAGAAAGGAAAAATTCGAAAATTATAAAGTAAAAAATCGAAAAATTTTAATTCGAAAACTTGAAAAACTGAAGAAACGTAGAATGGAAAAATAAAGAAAACAGAAATCGTTTTTTCAATTTTATAATTTTGCAATTTTTAGATTTCTTAATTTTTCGAAGTTTTTTTCAGATTTCCGAATTTTGCAGTTTTTTTTTAAATTACAGTTTTATAATTTTTCGACTCTCCAATATTTACGATTTTTTATCTTTCAGTTGTTCGAGTTTTTACTTTTACGATTTTGCAAAGAAAAGAAATTTTAAATTTTTGGATTTTTAATTTTTCGTTTCCACAATGTTTCAAGTTTTCGATTTTTTCTTTCTACTTTTTGATTTTTCCTTTCTTTAAATTTATGATTTTAAGTTTCCCATTTTTCAATTTTTCAGCTTCTTATTTTTTAACTTTTGATTTTTTAATTTTTCAGTGTTTTTCGATTTTCGAGGTTTTTACTACTTTCGAGTTTTCAAATTTAAATGTTGCGCAATTATTTTTTAACTTCCTAATTTTCATGGTTTTACAATTTTTCGATTTTTATAAATTTTTGCTTTTCGAATGTCAATTTTTCATATTTTTTTGTTTCTTCAGTTTTTCAATTTCCCAGATTTTGAATTTTTCAATTTCCAATTTTTTGTTTAGCTATTTAATTTTCTTTATTTCTTCAATTCTCCGATTTTTCAGTGTTTCGATTTTATACTTTTCTGTTTGTCCAATTCTGATTTTTTTTGTTTCTTCAAATCACCAATTTTTCATTTTTAAATTTTTTCGATTTTCTATTTTTTGGATATTTTCGTACGGTTTTTTATTTTCTTTATTTTTTCAGTTTTCCGGTTTTTAAATGTTCTACTTTTCTATTTTTCAGTTTTTCAAGTTTTTTCAATTTTCTTTTGGATTTTCCATTTTCGTTTCTTAATTTCTCAAGTTTTTAGAATTTTTTCTTTCTTTAAACTTACAACTTTTCAGATTTTCACCTTATTTTTTAATTTTTCGATTTAACAATTTTTCAATTTTTCAGGTTTTCACTTTTTCGATTTAGCAAAGAAATCTGAATTTTTCGTTTTTTCAAATTTTAGAAATTTAAATTTTTTGGATTTTTCCATTTTTTCTTTCCACAATTTTTTAAGTTTTCGAATCAAAATTTTTCGATATTTCACTTTTGATTTTCAATTTTTCCTTTCTTTAAATTTATATGTTACTCATAGTTTTTCCAATGTCAATTTTTCATATTTTTTTGTTTCTTCAGTTTTTCAATTTTTCGATTTCCAATTTTTTGTTTAGGTATTTCATTTTCTTTATTTCTTCAATTCTTCGATTTTTCAGTGTTTCGATTTTATACTTTTTTGTTTGTCCAATTCTGATTTTTTCGTTTCTTCAAATTACCAATTTTTCATTTTAAAATTTTTTCGATTTTCTATTTTTTGGATATTTTCGTACGGTTTTTTGTTTTCTTTATTTTTTCAATTGTCCGGTTTTTAAATGTTCTACTTTTCTATTTTTTTCATTTTTTTTAATTTGAAATTTTCATTTTATTATTTTTCGAATTTTCAACTTTTAGATCTTTTAATACTTCGTTTTTTCAATTTTAGACTTTTCAGTTTCTCGATTTTTCAATTTTTCGATTTCATAGTTTTTCGTTTCTTCAATTTTCGACTTTTTATTACTTATTTTTAATTTTTTGTTCTCTCCGGTTTTTCGATTTTCGATTTACAACTTTTCGTTTTTTTTTTTTTAATTTTTTATATTTCTCAGATTTTCGATTTTTCAGTTTTCGAGATTTCATATTAAATATTTCCCAACTTTCCATTTTTCGCGTTTTCAGTTTATCAAATTTTTGAAACTTAAATTTTCCAATTTTTCGAATTTTGGCCCTTTTTTGAATTTATGATTTTCCAATTTTTCAATTTTTCGGGTTTTTGCTTTTTCGATTTTGCAATTTTTAAAAATTTAACTTTTTCTTTATCAATTTTTGGAAATTTGAATTTTCTAATTTTTCAGGTTCTCGTTTTTTATTATTTTCCAAATTTTCGAAATCAATTGTTTCGATTTTATACTTTTAATTTTCGAATTTTTCGATTTTTCAATTTTTCAGTCTCTTGTTTTTTAGTTATTCGATTTTATAATTTTTCGTTTCTTTAATTTTATGGTTTTTCTATTTCTCGATTTTTCAATTTTTCGTTTCTTCAATTTTCGACTTTTTATTATTTTTTTTTTATTTTTTGTTCTCTCCAGTTTTTCGATTTTCGATTTACAACTTTCCGCTTTTTTTAATTTTTTATATTTCTCAGATTTTCATTTTTTTCAGTTTTCGAGATTTCATATTAAAATATTTCGCAATTTTCCACCTTTCGTTTTTTCAGTTTATCAAATTTTTGAAACTTAAATTTTCCAATTTTTCGAATTTTGGCGTTTTTTTGAATTTATGATTTTCCAATCTTTCAATTTTTCGGGTTTTTGCTTTTTCGATTTTGCAAGTTTTAAAAATTAAAATTTTTCTTTATCAATTTTTGGAAATTTGAATTTTCTAATTTTTCAGGTTCTCGTTTTTTATTATTTTCCAAATTTTCGAAATCAATTGTTTCGATTTTATACTTTTAATTTTTGAATTTTTCGATTTTTCAATTTTTCAGTCTCTTGTTTTTTAGTTATTCAATTTTATAATTTTTCGTTTCTTCAATTTTCGTTTCTTTATTTTATTTTTATGGTTTTTCAATTTCTCAATTTTCCACCTTCCGTTTTTTCAGTTTATCAAACTTTCGAAACTTAACTTTTCCAATCTTTCGGGTTTTTACTTTTTCGATTTTTCAGTTTTTAAGAATTTTAATTTTTCATTGTCAATTTTTGGAAATTTTGGGGGTTTTCGGTCCTTATTTTTTCGGATTTACTATTTTCTGTTTTCTTAGTTTCTCAAATTTTCGAATTAAAGTGTTTCCATTTTACATTTTTTCATATTTTAATTATTGCTTAAAAATTTTTATTTTGCAATTTTTCGATTTTTCAATTTTTCGCCTTATTGTTTTTAATTGTTCGATTTTATAATTTCTCATTTCTTAATTTTCGAGGTTTCTTTTTAATTTTCAAGTTTTTTGTTTTCCCCAGTTTTTCGATTTTTCACTTTCTTTTCTCAAATTTTCGATTCTTCAACTTTTCGAATAAAAAAAAAAAAAGAAAAATTGATTGCAAGATTGTAAAATCAAAAATGAAAAAACGGAAAACTATGAAATGAAAACTTTGAAAACTCTAAAATTGGAAATTAAAAACTTGAAATATTGAAGAAACGAAAAATCGGGAATTTGAAGAACTGAATACACGAAAAATTATAACATCAAAACAAACATTGAAAAAATAAAGGAAATGAAAAACGAAAAAAAAAATTGTGTTATAAAAAAATTGGTCGAAGGTAAGTCCAGATTTTTCGAAAAATTATAAGCTTCGATTTTGTTTTTTTTCCATTACAAAATTTTGTGACGTCATCAATTTTTTGAAAGGGCGAATACATTTTGATTAACGATTTACCATGCTTACGATAACTTTTAAATGTCTGCAAGATTCCAGAGTATTCGGCTTTGCAGTTTCAAAGTTAAAACGCAAAATATTTTATAATTTTGATTTTTTTTTCAAAAATTCGCAACTGCATTGGGAAAACTCAAAACGGATTCATACACCACAAATATAGTATCTTATTCTATGTAAAAATAATCAGTGTGTAATAAAAATCCGGACAGACAGCAGACAGACAGACAGACAGACAGACAGACGGAAACAGGACACCTAATTCTTAAACGAAAAATAAAATCTACCTTTCCAAACTGCAACAAACACTGCGGACACGCGTCAATCAACAACTGCACGGCATCATTAGTGTTCATGATGATTGACTGCAAACTCAAACTCCCCCTCAGATTCTCGTTCAACGACAAAAACGCATTCACTTCGCCTATCACTTGCTTCGAAACGATCTGACTCGACAAAACCGCCTGCAACTTCTTCAACACAAAGTCGGCATCTTCGTTCGCTCTAAACGTCTCCTTCGCCGTATAATTCTCCAGACACGCCTCGTACAACTTCGACGTAATCTCGACCTGAAACGGCGCCATTTTGTCCAAATAGTCGTACCTGAAGCTCGCGAACAAGTAACTCTCCTGCGACTTCTTATCATTCTTATCGTCGAAGTACGGCTTCGGCTTATCATCCCCCTCCCCCAGAATCTCGCGCTCGAGTTTGCTGAAACTAATTGACTTAAGTAAGTTTAGTCTGCGGTCCGCGTACTTACTCACCTTGACGTCATCTCCTCCTTCTTCGACACGTCTTCCTTGAGTTGGAGGATTTGGAGCTGCGACAAGTACGACCGGACTAGGAGTTTCATGGCCTCGTTGGCCCCGCGCTCGTATATGATTTTGGAGATGTCGGTGTCGCCGACCTTGACGAAGTACTGCTTGAAGTACATTTCGAGGGTTTTCTGGAGGACCAGGCTGGCGGTGTTGCTGTCGCTGCCGATGCTCGAGGGGAGGTACTCGAGGAACACCTGGAACGATCGGGTGAGTCTAATACGGGGAGGCAGTGGCGGCTCACCTTGATCAGTTTGTTCAGGTTGATGGCTTTTTTGTCCATTATGAGGACGACGAGGGTCTCGGAGATGGTGTCGGGGTAGGAGCTTATCAAGACGACGGCGAATTCGGAGAAGGTGGTTACGATTTTTGTTTTGTTTTGGTAGTTTTGGGTGGTGTCGAAGAGGAGTTCCCAGTTGTCGGATAAGGAGGTGAGGAGGGAGCCTTGGGGGATTTCGGAGAGGCAATCTTGAGCTTTTTTGATGTTGCATTTTTGGGTGTAGAGGATGGCGAGGGCTAGGGAGAGGTCGGCGGATTTTGTGTCGTCTCTGGAATATAGTTTTGATTTAGAATTAATACAGTGGTGTATATCAAGCTAATATAGGCGTAGTATGTGGTGGGTCATCTGGTCCACTATATGACAGTTTTTATAATTTTTTTAACTTTCTAGGTATGTGTAATAAAGAAGAGAGAAGAAAAACGATGAAAATAGAACTATTTTTAAACAATTATACGCCCGAGACGCAGCCGAGAATTGTAAAACAATCGCAAAGTTTGGATTTTCGATTTCAGTAATTTTGTATTTTGCAGTTCGTCTCTAAATGTTTTTTATCTCCCGATGTTTAGAGTTTTCAAACAAAGATTTTTCAACTTTTAAATTTTTCAATTTTTTTGAATCAATCTAAATTTTTTTGAATTTTTCGACTTTTAGATTTTTCAAGTTTACGAATTTTAAAGTTTCAATTTTACAATGTTTCGATTCTTGAGTTGAAAAATGGAAAAATTTTAACCCAAAAATTATAAAAATGAAGAAACGATAATTTCAAAAATTTGAAAAAAAAACAACAATCAAAATTTCTAAAAATTGTAAATCGAAAAATTGAAAAATACAAAATTGTAAAATCCAAAGTCGAAAAATTGAAAATTCGACTTTTGTATTTTTCAAGTTTACGAATTTATAATTTTTTTCTAATTTAGGGTTTTACAATTTTTCGGATTTTCACTTTTTTGGTTTTGCAAACAATTTTCAATTTTTCGTTTTACCAAACTTTGGAAATTTTAATTTTCTGGATTTTTCACTTTTTAATTTTTGATTTTCCTTTCTTTTCTTCAGCTTCTTGTATTTTTCGATTTTACAATTTTCGAGTTTCTTTAATTCCATAATTTTGCAATTTCTCAGTTGTTTTTTTAATTTTCCAGTTTTTATTTTTTCAGTTTCTTTAAATTTAGATTTTTGAATTTTACGATTTTTGGAAGTTTTCTTTAAATCGACGATTTTGCAATTTTTCCGAGTCTCCAATATTTAGATTAAGAATTTTTCCATTTTTTGATTTTTCAGTACCTCGATTTTTATTTTTTGGATTTTCCATTTTCGTTTCTTCATTTTTCATGTTTTTGAATAAAAATTTTTAGAATTTTTCCTTTGTTGAAATTTACGATTTTTCAGATTTTCACCTTATTTTTTAATTTTTCGATTTAGCAATTTTCCGTTTTTTTAATTTTCCGATTTTGAATTTGTCGTTTCTTTAATTTTAATTTTCGACTTTTGGATTTTTCAAACATACGAATTTTAAAGTTTTCTTTAAGTTTTCGGCTTTATAATTTTTCGATTCTTCAATAGTTACGATTTTTTATTTTTCAATTTTTCTGGTTTTCACTTTGTCGACTTTGCAAAAATTAGAATTTTTCGTTTTTTCAAATTTTAGAACTTTTATTCCATTTTTCGTTTCCACAATTTTTCAAGTTTTTGAATCAAAATTTTTCCATTTTGCAATTTTAATTTTTCGTTTTTTTCATATTTCGAGTTTTTTAATTTCTTCTGAATTTTTCATTGTTTGTTTCTCCACTTTTTCAATTTTTCCATTTTTGATTTTTTAAAATTTAAATGTTTCTCAGTAGTTTTTTCAATGTTCGAGTTTTCATGTTTTGAGTTTTTCAAGCTTTCCAAATTTATATTTTTCAATTTTACGATTTTTCAAAGTTTTCTTTAAATCCATGATTTAGCAATTTTTCCGACTGTCCAATATTTAGATTTTCAATTTTTTGAAAAATTAAAAAGTGGAAAATCGACAATTTTTAACTCGAAAACTTGAAAAACTCAAGAACGTAATCCAAAAAAAAATCCTTTCTTTTACGATTCTGCAAATTTTCGATTATTCAATTTTTAGCTTTCCCAATATTTTAACTTTTGTATTTTTCAAGTATTATCCTTCAATACGTTAGATTTTTCATTTTTTAATTTTTCGGGTTTTCATTTTTTCGATTTCAAATTTTAGAAATTCTAATATTTTGGATTTTCCGTTTTTCGTTCCCACAATTTTTCAAGTTTCCGAACCAAAATTTTTCGATTTTTCATTTTTTAATTTAGATTTATGAGGTTGAAAGTTTCCGAGTTTTCAATTTTTCAGGTTCTTTTTTAATTTTTGGATCTTTCAATTCTTCGGCTGTTGCAGTTTTCGAGTTTTTTACTTTCTTTTGAATTTTTCATTTTTTGTTTCTCCAGTTTTTCGGTATTTCTACTTTTAATAGTATCAAATTTCCGAATTTTTAATTTTTCGTTTCTTTAATTCTATGATTTTTCGGTCCTTCGGATTTCCGAGTTTTCAAATTTAAATATTTTTCACTTGTTCTTTCAATTTTCCAATTTTCACTTTTTCAAGTTTTTTCAAATTTAATGTTTCTCAATTTTCCGATTTTTGAAAGTTTTTAATTTTTTTTCCGACTTTCCAGTATTTAGATTTTGAATTTTGCAATTTTTCGGGTTTTCACTTTTCAGATTCTGCAATTTTTGGAAATTTTAATTTTTCTATTGTTCAATTTTTCATGTTCTCGATTTTTTTTTTTTGGATTTTAACTTTCATTTTTCAATTTTTTGCATTAAAATTTTTCAACCTCTGAATTTTAGAATTTTTCCTTTATTTTTTAATTTTCGATTTTACAATTTTTCAATTTATCAAATTGATATTTTTGATTTTGAATGTCGTTTCTTTAATTTTAATTTTCGATTTTTGGATTTTCCAAGGATACAAATTTTAAACTTTTATTTAAATTTAGGGTTTTTTCATTCTTTAATATTTAGGACTTTCAATTATTCAACTTTTCGGGTTTTCACTTTTTCAACGTTGATTTTTCGAATTTTCATTTTTTTACTCAAATTTTAGAAATTTTAATTCTTCACTTTCTTCCACTTTTCGATTCTTCGCTTATAATTTTTGATTTGCCCTTTCTTTAAATTTATGATTTTGAAAGTTTTGAATTTATTTTTTTAATTTTTCGATTTTTTCGATTTTCGAGATTTTTACTTTCTTTTCAATTTCTCATTTTTTGTTTTTATCACTTTTCAGATTCTGCAATTTTTAGAAATATTAATTTTTCGATTTTTCGAATTTTCAGGTTCTCGATTTTTATTTTTTTGGGATTTCGTTTTATCATTTTTTCAAGTTTTTCAATTTTTTGACTTTTCAATCCTTAAATTTTAGAATTTTTCCTTTGTTTAAATTTATGATTTTTCAGATTTTCACCTTATTTTTTAATTTTTCAATTTATCAATTTTTCGTTTTTTCAATTTTCCGAGTTTGAATTTGTTGTTTCTTTAATTTTGATTTTCGATTTTGGATTTTCAAATTTTCAAACTCTCTTTAAATTTTGGTCTTACAAATTTTTTGATTTTTTAATATTTAGAAGTTTCAAATATTTGAGTTTTCAATTTATAGATTTCTTAATTTTTTGATTTCTCAATATTTAGAAGTTTCAATTATTTGATTTTTCAATTTATAGATTTCTTAATTTTTCGATTTTTCAATTTTTAGAAATTTTAATTTTTCACTTTTAATTTTTAATTTTTCCTTTTATGATTTTGAAAGTTTTCAGCTTCTTGTTTTTTAATTTTTCGATTTTTTCAATTTTCCAGTTTCTTTTGAATTTCTCATTTTTTGTTTCTCCAGTTTTACGATTTTTCCACTTTTGATTTTTTCAACTATCCGATTTTTGATTTTTCGTTTCTTTAATTCTTAATGATTTTGCAATTTCTCGTTTTTAGAATTTTTCCAATTCTCAATTTTTCGTTTCTTCGGTTTCCGAGTTTTCAAATTTAAGTGTTTCTCAGTTGTTTTTTCAATTTTCCAGTACTGATTTTTGTAGTTTTTCAAGTTTTTCCAAATTTAAATTTTTCAAGTTTACGATTTTTGGAAGTTTTCTTTAAATTTACGTTTTCGGTTTGGGAGATTTTTGATTTTTATTTTTTCGAATTTTCCATTTTCATTTCTTCATTTTCGGAGTTTTCAAATTTAAATGTCTCATGATTTAATTTTTTTCGAATATTTCCATTTTCCGATTTTGAGTCTGTCGCTTCTTTAATTTTACTTTTCGAGTTTGGATTTTTCAAGCATACGAATTTTAAATTTACGGTTTTATAATTTTTCGGTATTCAATATTTAGGAGCTTCAATTTTTTGGGGTTTTCATTTTTTCGATTTTTCGAATTTTCAGGTTCTCAATTTTTATTTTTTGAGATTTTCCATTTTCGTTGCTTCATTTTTAAAGTTTTTGATTTTTTTGACTTTTCAATCCTTAAATTTTAGAATTTGTTCTTTGCTTAAATTTATGATTTTTTAGATTTTCACCTTATTTTTTAATTTTTCAATTTATCAATTTTTCGCTTTTTCAATTTTCCGAATTTGAATTTGTTGTTTCTTTAATTTTGATTTTCGATTTTGGATTTTCAGGCATACGAATTTTAAAACCTTCTTTAAATTTACGGTTCTAGAATTTTTTAATTTTTAGTATTTAGAAGTTTCAATTTTTAGAAATTTTAATTTTTCACTTTTTTCCATTTTTCGATTTTTTTCTTTTAATTTTTGACTTTTCCTTTTATGATTTTGAAAGTTTTCAGTGTTCTTGTTTTTTAGTTTTTCAATTTTTTTCAATTTTCGCGTATTTACTTTCTTTGGAATTTAACATTTTTTGTTTCTTCAGTTTTACGATTTTTCTACTTTTGATCCGATTTTTTGATTTTTCGTTTCTTTAATTCTTAATTAATGATTTTGCAGCTTCTGGTTTTTAGAATTTTTCAAATTTAAGTGTCTCTCAGTTGTTTTTTTCAATTTTCCAGTACTGATTTTTTAGTTTTTCAAGTTTTTCCAAGTTTAATTTTTTCAAGTTTACGATTTTTGGAAGTTTTCTTTAAATTCACGTTTTCGGTTTTTGAGATTTTCGATTTTTATTTTTCGGAGTTTTCAAATTTAAATGTCTCATGATTTAATTTTTTTTTAATATTTCCATTTACCGATTTTGAGTTTATCGCTTCTTTAATTTTACTTTTCGATTTTGGATTTTTCAAGCGTACGAATTTTAAATTTTCTTTAAATTTTCGGTCTTCAATATTTAGGAACTTCAATTTTTCGGGGTTTCATTTTTCCGATTTTTCAATTTTTAGATTTCTCTATTTTTTGTTAATTTTTTTTTCAATTTTTAGAAATATTAACTTCTCGATTTTTTGAATTTTCAGGTTCTCAATTTTTATTTTTTGAGATTTTCCATTTCCGTTGCTTCATTTTTCAAGTTTTTGATTTTTTTGACTTTTCAATCCTTAAATTTTAGAATTTGTTCTTTGTTTAAATTTATAATTTTTTAGATTTTCACCTTATTTTTTAATTTTTCAATTTATCAATTTTTCGTTTTTTCAAATTTCCGAATTTGAATTTGTTGTTTCTTTAATTTTGATTTTCGATTTTGGATTTTCAGGCATACGAATTTTAAAACCTTCTTTAAATTTACGGTTCTAGAATTTTTTAAGTTTTAGTATTTAGAAGTTTCAATTTTTAGAAATTTTAATTTTTCACTTTTTTCCATTTTTCGATTTTTTTCTTTTAATTTTTGACTTTTCCTTTTATGATTTTGAAAGTATTCAGTTTTCTTGTTTTTTAATTATTAAATTTTTTTCAATTTTCGCGTATTTACTTTCTTTGAAATTTATCATTTTTTGTTTCTTCAGATTTACGATTTTTCTACTTTTGATCCGATTTTTTGATTTTTCGTTTCTTTAATTCTTAATTAATGATTTTGCAGCTTCTGGTTTTTAGAATTTTTCAAATTTAAGTGTTTCTCAGTTGTTTTTTTCGATTTTCCAGTACTGATTTTTTTAGTTTTTCAAGTTTTTCCAAATTTAATTTTTCAAGTTTACGATTTTTGGAAGTTTTCTTTAAATTCACGTTTTCGGTTTTTGAGATTTTCGATTCTTATTTTTCGGAGTTTTCAAATTTAAGTGTCTCATGATTTAATTTTTTTCGAATATTTCCATTTTCCGATTTTGAGTTTGTCGCTTCTTTAATTTTACTTTTCGATTTTGGATTTTTCAAGCATACGAATTTTAAATTTACGGTTTTACAATTTTTCGGGTTTTTATTTTTTCGATTTTTCAATTTTTAGATTTCTCTATTTTTGATTTTTTTTTTCAATTTTTAGAAATTTTAATTTTTCTGTTCGATTTTTCAGGCTCTAGATTTTTATATTTTTGGATCTTCAATTTCACGTTCCTTCGGTTTTTCAAGTTTTCGAACCAAAATTTTTTCGATTTTTCAACTTCTAATTTTGAAATTTTTCCTATTTTCAATTTTTGGAGTTTTTACTTTTCTTGAATTTTTAACCTTCGATTTCTTCAATTTTGCAATGTTTGTTTTTTTCGTTTCTTTAAATTTACGATTTTGCAATTTTTCCGACTCTTCAATATTTAGATTTAGAATTTTTCAATTTTTGGGAATGAATTTCTCAATTTTTCAATTTCCCGATTTTTATTTTTTTATTCAATGTTTAGATTTTTTTTCAATCTTTCAATTTTTCAGGTTCTTGATTTTTATCTTTTCGGGTTTTTCATTTTTGCATCTTCAGTTTTTTCGACTTAAAATCTTTCGATTTTTTGACTTTTTACGTTTGAATTTTCTTTAAATTTATGATTTTGCAATTTTTGGATTTAAATTTTTAAATTTTGAAGAACCAATTTATTCAAACTGCGATTTTTAAAAATCAAAAAATCGCCAAATTAAATCGGAAAGTTGAAAAAACGAAAAATCGGAAAAATAAAAGATGTATACGTAAAACAAACGTCAAAACTGTCAAAACGGAAGTTAGGTTCACCATCTACGAGAGGCGCATTTGGATCCGTATACCCAAAAACCTCTCGAAAACGGTTAATTTGTGAACCGCTCTATAAACATACTACACCCATACTACATCCACTCCCCTTACCTTGCGATTTTGTCGCTCAAAATATGAATCAACCTATCCGTGGAGTACTCCCTCAAAATACTACTCTTCAAAATCAAACTGGCCAAATCATCAAAATCGTGACTCTCCAACAACCCCAAAATCGTCTCAGCGAAACTCTGCTTCGACCCCCCACTGAAAAACTTATCAGCCTCCCAACTGTGCCTCACCTCCAACAAAATCGCCTTCAAATAATTAATCAACCCCCTAGTCTGATGATTATTCGACTGCTCTTGAATCTTCTTCACCCTCCTCAAAACCTCAGTGGGCGACACCCGCGCCATCTTGTAGTACGGAATCGCCAAACAATAATCCTCCTCATTACCACACATGATATAATGATCAGCCAATAACGCACACGACGTCCTATACGTCTCGATGACGTCATCGTTATTACTCTTAACCGCCAATATCAACTTGACGTTCTCGTCGACCACGCCCCACTTTTTCAAAACAAGCGCCACCCGCAAGATCACGTGAGCCTCGCTCATCAAATGACAGTAGGTCTGGCTGGACGTGAACCTATGAACGTTGGCCAGGATCGAAATGTCGTTGAAAATGGTCTTCGGGGTCGGCAGTTCAAGGTTGTACAATGTCCAATAGGCAGCGGTCGAGCTACTATTCGAACTGACCGAGTGGGTGGGGGAACTGTCAGAATTCGCAAGGAGGACTAGATTATGCTCTGACAACAAAATCTGCTCCACTCCTAGAAACGGTCGCAAACCCACTAAACAAATGCTGTCGTTGATCGAAGGGCACGCCACACTGACGTCATCCACTATCTCGAAACTCCTGAAGAGTTTGTGTCCGAAACGTAGCGTGTACGACTCGAGCCCGGTTTCGGTCAACGCGTGCAGAAAATAATCTTCCATTACGAGTTTGTGTACGGGGGCGGTGAAGGGGTATACAGCTATGCAATGATCGCCTTCTACGCACTCCGCTTCGCTGAAATAGTGTAAATAACCCTCTTGTTGCGTAGCAACCATGCAAACGACGCTGTTCAAGCTCTTTCGGTAGTCGCTTCTGAGTAGGCGGCTTTCGCCGTCCTTGACTTTGTTCAGGCTCTCGTCGATGTAGAGCGGCTTCAGGATCATGCATTTGAACTCTTCGGTGATTTGGCGCTGCGCGCTCTCCACCAGGATCGGGATTAGTTTCAACTGGATTAGGTTTTTGATGACGTAGTTGAATATTTTTATGTCGCCGCCTAGGTTGGAGTGGATTTTGGCCGTCATTTCTTTGTCGGTGAAGGTGAAAGGGCTGTGTTTGTGGATTATGCTGTTGTCGCGGATTATGGTGGGGAGGTGCACGGTTAGTTTGGTTTTGGATACGCCGAAGGCTTCGTCGCGGACGAGTTTTTTGTAGTCGAGGGGCTCGTCGTGGGAATCTGGAACGGTTTTGAGTAGGTTGAAATTTAGCTGGTTCTGTTCGGTGTTTGTTGACCAGATATTTGATTAGATAACAATATTATCAAGATAGAATAACTTTTTCTAATAATTTTGAATGATAATTCAATATTTGTCTTTCATACAGTAACAGGTTATGGACCCAAATTTGAGAATGCTGTACTGTTATTATTAATATTACACTGCCTCTATTCAAACTGATTTACGTGCCCTTGTAAAAATGTTGACGTCATTTAGTAAAAAAAATTTTCGAACTGCATTTTTCAGTTTTGCAATTTTTCTATATTACAGTGTTTCATTTTTCGATTTTTCGTTTCCTTAGTTTTTCCAAGTTCTTGTTTTTCATTTTTCCGAATTTTTAATTTTCATTTCTTCGATTTTATGTCACAATTCTCCGCTTTTTCATTTCTTTTACTTTTCAGTGTTTCTTTCGGTTTTATAATTTTTCGTTTATTCGATTCTTCAAATTTTAAATCTGTGATTTTTCAGTTCCCCGATTTTCCAATTTTGCAATTTTTGGATTTCTCAATAATTCGATTTTCCGATTTCTTTAATTTTCAATGTTTCGATTTCACAATATTTCGCTTTTTCGATTTTGCAGTTTTTCAATTCTTCAAGGTCATGACTTTCCATTTTTTGATTTTTCAAGTTTTCATTTTAAACTTCTTTGTTTTTTTATTTTTTTTTCAATTCTACAATTTTACCATTGTTCCATTTTTTTTAATTAGAAAAATAAAAAAATCGGAAAAATTGAAAAACTGAAAAAACGGGAAATTGCAAAAATTGAAAAAGTGGAAATTCGATTTTATAATTTTTGCTTTTCCATTTTCCATTTTTTCGATTCTTTTCTCCAATTTTTTGATTTGCACGAGTTTTCAATTTTTCGGTTTTTCAATTTATTTCCAAATTTACGATTTCTGAACTATTCGTTTTTTCAATTTTTCATTTCTTCAGTTTTTGAGTTTTCCAATTTTTCAATGTTTTGTTATCAAATTTGCATTCGTCTTTTTTAGTTTTGCAGATTTTAAAATTTAAATTTTTGGGCTTTCGGATTTTTAAAATTTTTCAATTTTACGATTTTTCGAAGATTTTTCTACATTTACGATTTTGCAATTTTTTCAACTTTTCATGAAGTTTTGAATTTTTCAGTTTCTAGGGTTTTACTATTTTTCCAATTTTTGGGAATTTAAATTTTTCAATTTTTTGACTTTTCAGTTTTATGATTTTCATTCATTTCAGTTTTTGTTTCTTGAGTTTTCAAATTTTTCAGTAAAATTTTTTCGATTTTTCAGTTTTTTAATTTTAGCACTTTTTTCCTTCCTTTAAATTTACGATTTTTCAGTTCTTCATCATCTTACTTTTTAATTTTTTGACTTTTGGATTTATTCAGTTTACGAATTTTTGAAGTTTTTTTTAAATTTAGTTTTAGAATTTGTCGATTCTCCAATATTTATGATTTTTCAGGTTCTGCATTTTAATTTTTTTGGATTTTCCGTTTTCCGTTTTTTCAGTTTTTCAAGTTTTCGAAAGAATTTTTTTTGATTTTACACTTTTTATTTTTTTAATTTTTCCTTTCTTTAAATTTACGTTTTTGCAAGTTTTCGGTTTTTCAATTCTTCAGCTTGTCTTTTAATTCTTCGATTTTTCAATATTTCGATTTTTTCAATTTTCGAGTTTTTTACTTTCTTTTGAATTTACATTTTCTTTCTCTAGTTTTTCGATTTTTCCACTTTTGATTTTTTCAACTTTCTCATTTTTTAATTTTTCGTTTCTTAAATTTTTTTATTTTACAACTTTGTTTTTAGAATTTTTCAATTTCTCAGTTTTTTGATTCTTCGGTGTTCTAGATTCTGGAATATTTTGAAAAATATTTTGGATTTTCCAGTTTCGTTTCTTCATTTTTCAAGTTTATAAATTGAGGTTTTTCGATTTTTCAACCTTTAAATTTTAGAATTTTCCCTTTCTTTAAATGATTTTCCGAATTTTCACCTTATATTTTTTATTTTTCGAATTTACAATTATCCAATTTATCAGTTTTTGTATTTCAGTTTTCGAGTTTTCAAATTTAAATGTTCCATGATTTAATTTTTTCGAGTTTTCGTTTCGGCAATTTTCGAGTTTTCAAATTTAAATGTTTTTCAATTTGTCAGTTTTCCGATTTTGCATTTTTTTTTCAAAATTTAGAAATAAATTTTTCAATTTTTCAAGTTACTGAATTAAAATTTTTTGTTTTTCAACTTCTTAATTTCAATTTTTCAGGTTCTTGATTCCCAGTTTTTAGATTTTATAAAGTTTTCAACATAGAACACTTTTTTATTTTTTCATTTTTGATTTTTATTTTTACAGTTTTGCATTTTTCCACTTTTTTATTCGAAAAGTAGAAAAATTGAAAAATCGAAAAACTAAAATATCGGAAAAAGTGAAAAATCGAAAAACTGAAAAAAGGAAAAATTGCAAAATTGAAAAGTGGAAAACCGAAAATTGCAAAATGAAGAACTGAAGAAACGAAAAATCAACACATGAAAAACTGAAAAACCTAGAATCGAAAAAATGGAGAAGTAAAAGATCTAAAAGTTGAAAAATTGAAAGTTGAAAACCGAAAAAGGCAAATCGAAAAATTGCAAAATCCAAAAACTGAAAATTTTCCCATTGAAAAAAAGAAAAATTATAAAATTAGAACATGGAAATGGGAAAAAATTATTCAAAAACTTGAAAACTGAAGAAACGAAAATGTAAATTTCTAATAAATAAAGATCAGGAAAAAACGGGAAATTGCAAAATCGAAAAAGTGAAAATTCGATTTTATAATTTTTGTTATTCCGTTTTCCATTTTTTCCATTCTTTTGTCCAATTTTTTGATTTGCAATTTCACGAGTTTTCAATTTTTCGGTTTTTCAATTTATTTCCAAATTTACGATTTCTGAATTATTCGTTTTTTCAATTTTTCATTTCTTCAGTTTTTGAGTTTTCAAATTTTTCAATGTTTTGTTATCAAATTTGCATTTCGTCTTTTTTAGTTTTGCAGATTTTAAAATTTAAATTTTTGGGCTTCCGGATTTTTAAAATTTTTCAATTTTACGATTTTTCGAAGATTTTTCTACATTTACGATTTTGCAATTTTTTCAACTTTTCATGAAGTTTTGAATTTTTCAATTTTTTGACTTTTCAGTTTTATGATTTTCATTCATTTCAGTTTTTGTTTCTTGAGTTTTCAAATTTTTCAGTAAAATTTTTTCGATTTTTCAGTTTTTTAATTTTAGCACTTTTTTCCTTCCTTTAAATTTACGATTTTTCAGTTCTTCATCATCTTACTTTTTAATTTTTTGACGTTTGGATTTATTTAGTTTACGAATTTTTGAAGTTTTTTTAAATTTAGTTTTAGAATTTGTCGATTCTCCAATATTTATGATTTTTAATTTTTCAATTTTTCACTGTTCCAATTCTCAGTTTTTGATTTTTCAGGTTCTGCATTTCTATTTTTTTGGATTTTCCGTTTTCCGTTTTTTCAGTTTTTCAAGTTTTCGAAAGAATTTTTTTTTGATTTTACACTTTTTATTTTTTGAATTTTTCCTTTCTTTAAATTTACGTTTTTGCAAGTTTTCGGATTTTCAATTCTTCAGCTTCTTGTCTTTTAATTCTTCGATTTTTCAATATTTCGATTTTTTCAATTTTCGAGTTTTTTACTTTCTTTTGAATTTACATTTTCTTTCTCCAGTTTTTCGATTTTTCCACTTTTGATTTTTTCAACTTTCTGATTTTTTAATTTTTCGTTTCTTAAATTTTTTTATTTTACAACTTTGTTTTTAGAATTTTTCAATTTCTCGGTTTTTCGATTCTTCGGTGTTCTAGATTATGGAATATTTTGAAAAATATTTTGGATTTTCCAGTTTTGTTTCTTCATTTTTCAAGTTTCTAAATTGAGGTTTTTCGATTTTTCAACCTTTAAATTTTAGAATTTTCCCTTTCTTTAAATGATTTTCCGAATTTTCACCTTATATTTTTTATTTTTCGATTTTACAATTATCCGATTTAATTTTTTCTAATTTTTCAATTCAAGAAATTATTATTATTATTATTATTTTTCGTTTCGGCAATTTTCGAGTTTTCAAATTTAAATGTTTTTCAATTTGTCAGTTTTCCGATTTTGCATTTTTTTTTTCAAATTTTAGAAATAAATTTTTCAATTTTTCAAGTTACTGAATTAAAATTTTTTGTTTTTCAACTTCTTAATTTCAATTTTTCAGGTTCTTGATTCCCAATTTTTAAATTTTATAAAGTTTTCAATATAGAACACTCTTTTGTGTTTTCATTTTTGATTTTTTATTTTTACAGTTTTGCATTTTTCCACTTTTTTATTCGAAAAGCAGAAAAATTGAAAAAATCGAAAAATTAAAAATCGAAAAACTAAAATATCGGAAAAAGTGAAAAATCGAAAAACTGAAAAAAGGAAAAATTGCAAAATTGAAAAGTGGAAAACCGAAAATTGCAAATTGAAGAACTGAAGAAACCAAAAATCAAAACATAAAAAACTGAAAAACCTAGAATCGAAAAAATGGAAAAGTAAAATATCTAAAAGTTGAAAAATTGAAAGTTGAAAACCGAAAAAAGGCAAATCGAAAAATTGCAAAATCCAAAAACTGAAAATTTTCCCATTGAAAAAAAAGAAAAATTATAAAATTAGAACATGGAAATGGGAAAAAATTATTCAAAAACTTGAAAACTGAAGAAACGAAAATGGAAATTTCTAATAAATAAAGATCGGAAAATCGAAAAATTAAAATTTCCAAAAATTCGAAAAAAAAAAATTAAAATTTCTAAAAATCTCGAAATCGAACATGTGGAAACCCTAAAATTCAAAATCTACATACGTATTGAAACGTCAGAAAATTTGGAAAATCGTAAATTGATAGAACTTTGGAAAACCGAAAAATTGAAATCTCGCAAAATCCAAGAATTGAAACATCCAAAAGTTGGAAATTGA